AGGAAGGAAGGAAGGAAGGAAGGAAGGAAGGAAGGAAGGAAGGAAGGAAGGAAGGAAGGAAGGAAGGAATCTGTTCCTCAAAAACAAACTAAGGACCCTAAACCAACCAACCAACCCACCAACCAACCAAAAGAGCAAGCAAGGCAGGTCTGCTGTGTGAGATCCCATGAGAACTTACATTTCATACACTTTTGTCAGCTGCTCCATCAGTGTTACCTTCCTGGTATCCAGGAAAGAGGCCATTTCAGCAACAACAGCAGCTGCACTCACTCCATCTTTGTCCAGCACAGAGGTTCCACACAGAAAGCCTGAGGGTTAGACGCTGTCTTTAGAAAAGGGGGAAACTTCTGCTACACTTTCTAGTTTTGCACTTCCTCCCTGACCAGGGAACTGAAGATCACAGTATCAAGCCAGGTGTGACAATGCATGACTCTACCTCAGCACTCAGGGGCTGAATTGGGAGTTCAAGGCTAGTTTAGGCTGTGACAGCCAAGATCTTTTCTCAAAATAAAACAAAAAAACAAAACATGAACCACAAAATACAATGACAACAACAAAAACAGCTACCCAACTCCATCAGAGTCTAGTTAACAATGTATTCAGGGATCTTTAAGTTCTTCTCTGACGGAAAATGTTTTTCAGTCTTCTTAGGTAATCAAAGTTTTTAGAAAGGAAACATAACCTTACACCATGGTTTACACCATGGCTACAGAAAGTTTTTACCAAGTCCTCCTCTGTAATCAGATTTGAGGGGTTTTCATCTGATGAGTGACTGTCCACTTGAAGACATATATGCTGCTAGGCATGCATCTCTGCATTTTTGCAACTCAAAATTATAGCCAGAAGGTTGGTTTGGTGTCCTTTTCTTAGTTTGTTTTTGAAGAACAGACTCCTTCCTTCCTTCCTTCCTTCCTTCCTTCCTTCCTTCCTTCCTTCCTTCCTTCCTCTACAGAATTACTATATTTTAAATGCTTTCAACCAAAAGAAAAGAGTATTAGTAGTTACTACATACCAATAGACTCTTCAAATGCAAAAAGGACTTCTTTTCCATGTCCTAGGAGGTCTTTTATCCTACTTCCAATCCATTTAAAGCCTGGTAATGTTTCCTGAAATGTAGAGGAAGCCACTCCAGTTAACCAACTCTGATGAACACATATTAAAGAACTTATTTGTAAATGTACATAGCTCCTGCATAGTGAGCGTCTGTCACAGTACTTGGTCCATAAAGGTTTATATAGTGGTAGATGTATAGTCTCAATCTACCATAACCACACACACAGGCACAATTAATGACCCGCTAGCAGAGCAACAGGTGATTTACATCAAGTATAACATGTTTTAAAGTGGTGATAAATACAGATTCAAAATGACAGGTGTGTGTGTATACATGTGCTACAATCACCTACTGCCTATTAAGTACTGTAATGGGTGCTTTACACCATCCCTTCTAATGCTTACAAACATTAGTGCCATCGCAGAAACTTAGAGATTACTGTTCCCAAGGCTGCACATAAGGGATGGAGGCAGAGTTTGATTATATTGATTTCCTGAAGCAATTGCTGTCCTTTAAGCGCATTATAATCTTAATATGAGCACTCGTGAAGGATGTGATTTAGTTGTCTGAAGTAATCAAGGCCTTTAAGTTTGTAGTGACATAACACAAGCACACCACATGCCTCAACTGCCTGTACCATTGCACAACACTGTGGGATACATAAAGCCTTTACCAAGCCCTTTTTGTAATTAGATTTGAGGGTTTTTCATCTGATGAGTTTCTGTCCAATTGCAAGACATGCCCTGCTTTAAAGTCAATAGAGAGGACACATCATGCACACTAATTCTAGAGCTTACCATCACTAATCTGTTTCCTAATTTACTTTTCTGCTTCCTCTCAAAACAACAACAAAAAACCCTATAAATAGAAAAGCCAATACCACCCTCAGTAAAAAACAGATTTTTAATATTCTCCTTAGAATCAAGCTTCTTTTATGCTCAGGATATATCTTTTTGCTATACACAAGGAAAATGTTAACATAATTCAGAATCTTAGGCTTGAATACAATTCCAGTATCTTCTAATTTCCTGTGTGTTTAACAATTACAATATTCATTTTTTTCTTTTTTGTTATGTATGATTGGTGTGTATGTCCACACATGCATGTTCATGTGAATAAGGGCATATGTATGCCACAGTCCACATGTGAACTTTAAAGAACAACACCGGGAGTTGGTCTTCATTTTTCAACCTTATTTAAAACAGGGTCTCTTCATTGCTTGCTATTGCATTCACTGAGCTTCAGAAGGATTCTTCCATCCCCAAACTCCATTTTGTCACAGGAGGATTGGAATTTCATGCGTGTAACACTGCATGGGTTCTGGGGATTCAAGTTCAAGTTCCCAAGAATGCAAAGCAAAACTTTACTCACTAAGCCATCTCGCCAACCCAGAATATTCTTTTACTTGTCTAAAAGCTAGAAGAAACTAAAAAATTAGAAGATACTGAAATTTTATTCAAGCCTAAGATTCTTAATTATGACGTTAAAATTTTCCTTGTCTATAGCAAAAAATATATCCTGAGCATAAAAGAAACTTTATTTTAAAGAACAATATTATACATTTGTTTGTTTTTATTGAGGGTAGTGTTGAATTTTCTACATCTATTTCTTGTTTTTGAAAGAAAGCAGAAAAGTGAACTAGGAAAGAGATTAGTGATGCTCTAGCATTAGTGGGCACAATGTGCCCTCTCTACTGACACTAAATCAGGGCATGTCTTGCAATTGGACAGTAACTTATCAGATGAAAACCTCTCAAATCTAACTATAATCAGTAGTAGATCTAATTAGTATTATGACCCATAGCCTGATGACAACAAAGATGACAGGTGACAACTTAACTGACATTAGTCCAAGAGACTGCAAAAAACTAATTGTCTGTCATAAGTCCACAGTCACCAACTGTCTGAGGGTCACAAAACTTAATGATCCAGCCTAAGAGTCGCTACTTAATTTCTGGACATAGAGTCATTGGGTCTTATTTAGAGTTACACTTAGGGTAACAAGTCTGTGTTTGATGAGAAGAAGCAAAGATTCTATGAGATTTATAGTTTTCTGAAGCCTGTGTTACTGATAAGTTAGATTTTCACAGTCTAAAATGTTGTATGTTCCCATACGACATTCCCAGACAATACTATATGGAATAAGAAGTGTTAGTTTAATGTCTAAAAGAACATTTCATCTTAGTCAGAAATTCACATACTGGATGATTTTGGCTAGGGTATCTAAATTATCAAAAATATCAAGCAAGCATGAACAGAGATAGAAAACACGTAGAACTATCAATGAGATCAATGAAAGTCAGTTTGGTGCATAGATATCTTTACAGAAATGTTTAGCAAAGTAGCACACAGACTTCTAATGAAGTCTGCATCATTCTTACTTCAAAATGAAATCCTTCTTTAAGTGCAATTGCCTTTAAAATTTTAGAGGAGACAGTGGTGGCTAACATGTAAACATTCTTCACATCGGCATTTGGTTTGTTTTTCTTCCAGCAATCAAACATCCACCACCCAAACAAAGCCGCCAACTCATTCCCTGTGAAAACTTTCCAACGACCACTGCAAAAAGAATAAAAGTCAATGTCAAGACCTGCATAGCTTCTTATGAAAACTTTCTGACTTATAGCTTCAAATCACCTTCCTTTAGACTGGAAACCATAAATTCTATTATATGGAACTTTTGACAACATTTATTCCATCTTTTGGTGTGTAGTATACATGTGTATCTGTGTGTGCATACATGTATGTACATATGTATAGAGGCCAGACATGAACACTGAGTAATTTCCTATATTACTCTCCATTTTATTTTTAAATATAGTTTAAATTTCATTTGTTTTTATTTATGTGTATGTTTGTGCTCTTGTTTTTCTGTATGTGCACATCTCTGTAATGCCTGTGGAAACCAGAAGAGGGTGTTGGATTCCCTGGAACTGGAGCACAAACAGTTGTGAGTCACCTGATGTGAGTACTTGGAACCAAACCCAGGACTTCAGAAAGAGAAGGACATGCGCTTAATCACTAAGCCATCTATCCAGTTCTCTGCCTTATTTTTTGAGATTGATTGGCTGATCCATGAGCCTCCTGCTCTGTCCCCACCAGTGCTGTGAATTCATACAGCAGCTGACCCGCTGTGTCCTGAAAACACAGCTGTGTTGTAGTCATTTACTACCTCTGGCTCGTAGAATCTTTACATGCCCTCTTCTATGACAATCTTCAATTCTTGGGAGAAGGAGGTGATGTAGATGTCCCATGTAGGCTGAAGCTCAAATTACTTACTTCTCCTGAAGTTCTGCCACGGCCAGCCGGTCTGCATCAGGATCTGTGGCTAGCACTATCCGGGCATTTTCTTTCTCTGCCAGTCGTAAGGACAGTTCCTAAAACAAGTGACCCCAAAAGGCTAGATTATACTAAAGAACTTAAATCCAATGTTCTTGTTCCTAAAAGTGGGTACCATGTCAATGATATGAATTTCAAAGCATGCAGTCTAGAGAGATTGAACTAAAGCCATTTTCTTCAGAAATTTCAAACAAAACTCCTTATTGCTCTAATATGACTTAATACTATGAAACTTGCAGCAGAGCACAAGGAAAGCATGTAAGTCATCTCTGATGTGTCACTCAGACCCATTGAGTCTGGTGGCTGATAAGCTAAGAATAATTCAAATTTAAAAACAATACCAGCACAGATTCTCCTTCTTCAGGGTTTGGACATTTAACAGTAGAAAAGTCTGGATCTGGGTCTTTCTGCTCTGGGACTGGAATTGGAGGCTTAAAACCAAATACTTGAAAAGCCAACTGCACATAGTCATGTCCAACTCCATGAAAGGAGGTATGTACAAATTTCAAGGTGGTCTTTGAATTTAAGTCCCTGTAAAGGAAAATCACACACACCCTTACTTATCATTTACTAACCACTTCCCTATAATAAACAACATTTATAAAATAAATAGCAAGCATTTCATAATAGCTTTCAAAATACCCATAAAGAGAACACCCAATATCTATATATATACTTGGCAATTGATTTCAGCATGTCAATTCTGTCAGTCTGGCTTTGCTTCTTCAAAAATCATATTATTTTGCACAAAATACTTTAGTATTTAAGAACATAATTATACCTTATCACATCTAAAACATGAACAATAATTTTTAAATGTTGACTAATATCTGTGTTCACATTTTCTCCAAGTATCTGAAAATATCACCTGGTTGCTCTGTCTCTCAAATCTTTTTACTTTGTAAATGTTCTTTCACTACATCTCTAACCCTTGCTCTCCCCACACCATGTCCCATATCTTGGTTTGGAAATTATGCATCTTTTTCATAGTTTGTTTTTCTTTTTTTCCTCCCTCCCCTTTCCCTGTCTTTCAGTTTCAGATAAGATCTTTTAAATGTCTGCAGCTGGCTTCAAACTCTCTATGTAGCTGAGGATGACTGTGAACTTCTGGTCCTCCCGCCTCCACCCACTGAGATTTCATGGTATATCACCATGCCTAGTTTGTGAATTGCTAGGGATTCAACCCAGGAGGGCTTGGCCCACACTCACTCTATTAATTGAGCTACATCTCAGCCTTTGTTTATATTAGTACATTCCTCTGATCTGTTTCTACTATGAATGGGTCACTGGATCTAGAGGCAACATTAGATTCTATTCCAATTCCTCTGGCAAGAATAGATGTGTATTTTCTACCAAGTCACAAGAGGAAGCCCACAATGCCAATTTCACAGTTAGTATTTATCAGTGTCCTGTCATCCTCATTCGTCCATCGGCAGTTCCCTATCAATTTATTGCCATTATAAGCTTTTGGGATGGCTGCTAAGGTTCGTTATAAAGATAACAAAATTGTGATGTTTTCATTGTATTATTTCTTCATTTAATAGCTGAATTTTGGGAAGCTAGATCAGTGGTAGAGTGCCTCTTTAGCATGTATAAAGCTCAGAGTTCAATCTCTAGAACAGAAAAAAAGTAGCTTTTTGTTCTTTGAAAAATGTTCCTCTTCCAGTCAACTCTTTAACTCTGAAATGGAATTTAAACATGGAAAAGAAAAATTATGAGACTTAATCAACTTTAAAAGTGAAGATTCACAATTCATTAAAAGCCCTTGAATGAGTGATTTTTAGTGTAGAAATACACAATAGTGCTTTCTTACTATTACTAACAACCACTGATTTTTTTTCAATTAATTACAGTGATTCTTCACTTTGATGACTTTGTAGTCTTTGGTTAGTGACATGCCACTCATGTTGTCATATTAGTTCTTCTATGTTTTTAACATGACCTAAGTATCTCCTAGTATATTAGAAGGGATGGGGGGGGGAGGCAGGAAGAGAGGGAGGGAAGGAGAAAGAGAGAGGGAAGGGAAGAGGAGACTGACTGATTCTGACACCAAGCTCATTTAGGACATTTTCTATACCAGGCCTGGATATACATTAATCATATTCTAAGGTTATCTTCCAGTCCCACTTGGATACCTGTAAAAACAGATCTTTTTCAGATCTTCCATGTATTTCTTGCAAATGTCCTGCAGAGGATCTTTCTTCAGTGGGCTGGTGTCCACTAAATTATCATTCCAAGAATCATTCCAGGGTTCCACACACTCTTCTATACATTTCAGAATTTCTTTATCATGTGGAGATGTGATCTGAGCACCAGTTTCCCAATAAACCTATATGATACATAAATATAGCCATACTTAGTTAAAATGCTTGTTAGGCTCTTTCTTAGCTACAGTAGAGATGGTCACTGGTATTTTGAAGAAGAATATCAAGTTAAGCAAGTAAATATGTCAAGATTAGACTAATACTAAAATACATTGATGGTAATGATTTCAGAGAGACTTGTCAAAAGAGAGTCATGTATTATTTCCAACCTTAGAATAGTAACAAGTCAATATGAAGCATCATATAACCACCTTATATGCACACACTAGTGTCTAATTATATTCTTAGATGTATAACTATGTTAAAGATAATATATAAAAATATTAAAAAAAACATGAAATGGGCTGAAGAGAAGGCTCAGCAGTTAAGATCACTGGCTGCTCTTGCAGTGGACCTGGGTTTGGTTCCCAGTACTCACATAGCAGCTCAGAACTATCTGTAACTCCAGTCTCAGCCTCAGGGGATCTGATGCCCTCTTCCAGCACTGCACTGAGGATACTGTATACATTCAGGCAAAACATTCATACACTTAAAGTAAATCTTTAAAAACAAAGAAACCACGAAGTATCCACAAAAATTTACACTATTAAATTCAGTTATAAGTAACAGAAATTATTTACATTATAAATTAATGTATCAGAATTAAATTATATATCAGAAAAGACAGATAATGTTGATTATCTATATACATTTCAACCAGTTTCCAATTTATCAAGCAGCTGGAGGGGACTTTGCTTAAAAAATATTCATGCTAATTCTACCATGGATATGGCATGGAGCTCTGCTGTTACACCCGAATAGAAAAAGAGCAGCATACATTTGAGTGCATGTACCTCATACTAAGCTGTCACAGGAATGTGACGAATTATTAGACTTAAAATTCTTCTATCAACAACAGAAACAGCAGGAAGTATACAAACGCATAGAAATTGATTAACTCATTACCAAACTAAAAAATAGGTCAAAACAAAAAAACAAGAAGAAAATTAAAAACCTCTTAGAATTAAACAAAAGTGAAAATACAACATACCCAAACCTCTGGGACACAATGAAGGCAGTTCTAAACATTGAAACAAGCAAGCAAGCAAACAAGCAACCCTGAGAGGTCTCACATTAGCAACTTAGCAACATGCCTAAAAGCTCTAGAGCAAGAAGAAATAACATCCAAAGAGTAGAAATAATCACACTTGAGGCTGAATAAATAAATAAATAAATAGAAACAATGATAAAAACAATCAAAGCATCAATGAAATGAAGAGTTGGTTCTTTGAAAAATTGACAAGATCAAGAAACTCTTAGCCAAATTAACCAAAATATGGAGAGAGAAAAATCCAAAGTAAAGATGAAAAGGACATTATAACAGACACTGAGGACATTCAGAAAATAAGGACATATTTTTAAAATCCGTATTCTACTAAACTAGAAAACCTTAAAAAAATGGATGAATTTCTTGATATATAACCTACCAAAGTTAAACCAAGATCAAGTAAGCAATTTAAACAGATCAATAACCTCTAGTAAAATAGAAGTACTAATTAAAAGTTTCCCAAAATTTCCATATTTGTAGGATATTTGTGTTTACTTTCATGAGAAGTTTGTTAAAACATATGTGTATTCCTCCCTCCCCGCCCCCTCAGATTTACAGATGATTGTGGGCTATTACATGGTTCCTGAGAGTTGAATCAGGGTCTTCTGTAAGAGCAGGACTGTCTTAAGGCTGAATTGTATTTCTATTCCCTCTCAAACTTAATTTTTGAGACGTGGTCTCTTGCTGAACCTGGATAGAGCTCCTTGTCTCAGATGGACTGTCTGACCAACGAGCCCCAGGTTCCCTGGCTCTGTCCCACAGCACTAGGGTTACAGATGCACACTGCTGCGTCCAGTTATTACATATGTGCTGAGGAACCAAGCTTGGGTCTCAAGCTTTCAGAGCAAGCACTTTACCCACAGGGCCATCTCCCCAGTCTCTGTTCCATATGTTGTAATAGATATGGTACCCTAAAGTCTGTGACTTCAGCTCACTTCTTCCTTGAGTTACAGATCTCCACATCCAGCTGCTCATAGCACATCTGCTTACCTGGTTAGCTCATGATACCTGAAACTTATATGTCACAAACTGAATTAATTATGCTTCTTCCCTGCCTTTAGGAGTGGGCCAGGCCCCAAATTGTTTTTTGTTTTGTTTTATTTTGCTTTTTAAGACAGGATTTCTCTGTGTAGCCTTGTCTTGGCTCTCCTGGAACTTGCTCTGTAGAGCCTGCCTCTCCCTCCCTAGTGCAAAGATTAAAGGTATGCATCACCACTACCCAGCAGGCCCCAAATCTTAAATCAGTATCAAACCTTTCTCCCATTTAAGATAGGACTTGGTGTGTCTGGAGTCCTCCCAAACAAGAAGGAAAATGTAAGAATGTGGGTCCATCTCCCAGAAGCCTGAAACACAGTTCAGTACTATACCGTGTGCCTTCCATATGCACCTGTCAAGCTACTTTTTACCTCTGACACTCTACTTTTGATGTTTTGTCAGAAAGACTAATGTAACAGGTAGGTCCTGTGGCCACTGAGAAGCCAGGGCAGCACAGAGAGAGGGGAGAGTGAGTTCAAGATACTATTTCCCTGACTCTTCCCATTCAGTCTTTGTATTCTTGATATACAACATGACTTGATTTCTAAAATTATAGAGAGGATATATTTGGGATGGGATGGAGAAATCAAGGAAAAAAGAAGTAAAACCCCAGTGAAAAGACAATTGTTCTGTATACACCCTGGGAACCAGTAAATGCCATCACAGGTACAGTCTGTGAGAGCCAGCATCAAAGTTTTTATATGTTCCCAATGCCTGGCTTTGTTCCTCAGTATAGAAAATATCGAGTATATATTATTCAAGTAAAAGTTATAAAATAGGCAAAGGTTGGGAGTCCAAGGCTTACCTTGTACCCATTGTCCTCTTTGCGGTTATGAGATGCAGTAATCATCACACCTGCAACTGCTTTGAGTTCCTGAACTGCATATGGCTGAAAATAAAAAATAAAAATTCCTAGCAGCATTCTTCCACTTTGCTTGCTAGATATTCATACATTTTCTATGAACGCTACTTGGTTAAATTAACACAGGAGGACACTTAGATATCATAATATAAGATCTCGCTGCCCCAGGTTTGATGGGTAAGGTCCTTCTCTAACATACACAATTCAACAACCATCCAATTATCACCCTGAATGGCCCTTCCTCTCAATCTCCTATTGCTTATTGGTTTACAATTTTCTTATTCTTTGTTATATGATAATATTTAGCAAATGCGACATGACAGACACTTTGCTGGACTGCAGATACAAATGGCACATATAATTACAAATAGTTGGAGGTGGAAGTAAACTTAGAAGCCATCTAATCCATCACATGTTACATGAGTTTTATCTACATTATACAGTCATTAGGTAGAACGTTCAAAGGTATAGCCTTCTGTCTTCTAATTTGCAGATCTTTACATATACTCTGCGGCCTCCATGGCACATAAGTGTCAGCTCACCCTTTTCTTGATTAGTTCTCTTCCCTGGATGCTTCCTTCCTGTTTCCATCATCATACTGACCACTCTTCAGACCACAGAAGGTGGGGGAGGGGAGGGGAATCGGCAGATGTCCTAGGTCTGATCACACTAGTCTATTCCCTTAACTTGATTCCAGAAACAGTTCCCAAACCCATACCTAATCAGAGTTCCTTCCACCAAGGTACTCTGGCTACCCTTAGTCAAGGAAGTCAACCCTTGATTTGAAGTCACGGTGATAAAAGGGAGCAAATCTGGACAAGTAATATTACCTTAGCAACTACAATAGAATAATCTATCGACATTATTCATTCCTTAAATATTTGGTAAAACTTGCATATAAAATAATCTGGACTTGCTATTTTAAACTTGAGAATACTTTTAAAAATACCAACTAAACTTATTGAATAATTATAGATCTTATTTAAGCTTATTTCTTTCAGTTTTGATGTATCAACTGTTATTCTACAAAGCTACAAAGCTATTCATCTAAGTTTGCACATTTATTTGAATTACACTATTAGAAATACTACGATTATCTTAGTCTCTACTGTATTTATTACTCACTCCTTTCGTTTGTGTCTTGTTTTATCAATAAATTTTAAGTTACATTTCTTTAGTTATTTTGGGGCACATTCATGGCATGAGATTGGAGAACAACTTGTAGAACTTGGCTCTCTACTTGTACCATGTGGGCCCGGGGACTGAACTCAGGCTGACAGGCGTGGCACCTGGAGCCATCTCTTCAGCCTAGTTTTGACTTTTCTTACTATCTTACTTATACTCTTATAATTTCATTTATTTTAATTTGCTTTACCATTAACATGTAATTAGAACACAGGCTCAGTGTCTTAACATCTTTTCTTTTGCTAACACATTCATTAAACTTATAAATTTCCCTCAGAGTAGGACTTAGTTCTACCTTACAAGTTTTGCTGTTTGTTGTTTTCATTACTGTTCTGTTTTAAAGACACAGTCTTTGCTTTACGTTGTCATTATACTCCCATTTCCACTCCCACATTTTTGTCAAGTAGCACCAGTCTCCTAAACATGTTCAAACTTGAAACCATGTACATCAAGTGTAACTATAGCACAGTAACGAGGCCATGATCTATTAACTGCACTAAGTGCAAATGTGCTCGGTGGCTCTTCAGTCCAAATCACTATGTATGTAATAGATCTCTCAGGTCAGTGGCCAGTCATATCAGCCTTTTAAAAGTCTGTTGGTGACTGGTCACTGTCTGCTTTTCAGCTCTCAGATGGAAATGCACACAAAACCCACCTCAACCAGCTAACAGTATGCTCAAATCTATGTGTCATTCTTGTCCTAATAAATCAATTTCTTAAACAAGATCATTAAACATCTCACAATGACCATCAGCTGGTCAACTTACATAGACCAAGCTCAAAGCAAGACTATTTTTCTTCCTTTGGTTGGATTTTCATTGGATTGGACATATATATGGCAAAGATTTGAACCCTAATTGACTTAAGAAATCCCCTGAAGAACAGCCAGCTGAGTAATGACCAGAGCATACTTACTACGAAAGGTGTAGGAACGTATCTTGAAAAAAGGTAAACAGGAACATCTTTAGCAAGCAACACTGCAGCAGTGAGTTTAGCAAGCCTAAAAAGAGAGATTTCATTTACTCCTTCCCATATTTTAATAAACTAACCTTCTGTATAATATATGTTTTAGAATAGAATTATTCTGAATTTTGAAATAGGATCTTCTGTAGTAGCCAAAGCTGGCTGGAACTTTTATGTAGGTTTGTCTTAAACTCACTACCCTGCCTCAGCCTCCCTTATATGCTGCCATGCCCAGCCAAACAGTTGTTACCATTACTAATTATTTAAGCTTGATGCTTCAACATGAAACTGTTAAGTAAGGGTTTTTGTTGCTGTTGTTTGCTTGCTTGTGTTTTTCTTTAAGGAACTAGGGATATGGCTCAGTGGTAGCTAGCTCACTGGCTTAGTATGTACCAGGCCCTAGCTTCATTCCCAGACACACATACATAAAACAAAAATCCCTAATCCTCCAAATACAAATAAGAAAACTAAAAGGTCTTTAACAACAAATAGAACTGACACTACAATTCTTTACTTCTCATTCACCTTTTGGTAGTGATAGCTGTTTTAAACTAAGAAATAAAACTTGTAAAAGGCAACAAGATCAAAGGACAAACTCCATAAAATGGTACCACAATTATCAACTTATGAAAAGATCCTAGAGCAGAATAAGAGAACAGAAGCTTCAAATTACTCCTACTCTGTTCCCATAACCCCTCACTATATACATCGACAGTATTTGAACTTCCAATATCTTTTCTTTTTTTTTTTTTTTTTTTGGTTTTTTTGAGACAGGGTTTCTCTGTGTAGTCCTGGCTGTCCTGGAACTCACTCTGTAGACCAGGCTGGCCTCAAACTCAGAAATCCACCTGCCTCTGCCTCCCAAGTGCTGAGATTAAAGGCATGCGCCACCACCGCCCACCCGAACTTCCAATATCTTAAGAAGTTATACTTCTATAATATCTAAAGCTTATCTCTGAAGTGCTTTTTTACTTCTGTTTCAGCTAAAATGGTTCTCAAGCTTCAGAAAAACATACACTCGGCATTAGCATAGGATCATGCTTCTATACGAAGGTCTTGTTTCAGAACTTCTAGCACCAGAAAAAAATATTAAATATTTTGCCCCCATTCCAATGTAACCTTTGCAGTAATTAACACTGTACCTTTGACTGCTACAGCTGCTAGTCACTTGACCCCGAGTATCATAGCCAACAACAAAGCCTCTCTGTTTGAAGTCTGAAAAACACTTCTCCAGGTATTTGTACATCCCCTGAAGCAAATAAACAGAAGATTAGTTCCTGATCAGGCATCCACCTTAAGTGGCCCCATCTCCCTTTCAGCTGAAGATGAACTGAGGGCCTCAAACAAGCTAGGCAAGTGCATTGCCACTGAACTACATCTCAGCCTCAACCTCTGAACTTTACAACTCAAGTCTCTCGTTTTTCTTCAGCTGCTTATTGACTCAGAACTGGCTTTGGTGTTTATAGTCATGCTTCCTAATGTGGGAGCAATACTGCTCACCCATGAATATGAAATGGCAGTCATTTCTCAGATTTTCAAATACGTTTAGTACTACAGAAACACCAATTTAGTAGCCATAACTCCAGTACAACACACAAAACATGAGAGAAAAAATGGTTCAGTAAGAGGAAAAGAGGGCATGTCAGAAAGAACATTCAGAAGTAACCAGGGAAACTAGTTTTTACTGCAAGGCTCTAGAGGACAGAATTTTCATCATCTCACTGTGTAGCCTAGGGTGGACTGGAACTTGCTATGTATACCAGGCTGTTCTCAAATTCACAGAGTTCCATCAGCTTCAATCTCCCCCTCCCTAGCGTGGGGACTAAAGGTGTACATAACACCCAGCCAAAGAACTCTTCATGAAAAGGACTGTGTCCTTGTAGACACATAAATGATTTCCAACATACATTTGGGGTAAAACAAAAGATCAAAATTGGGTCTGCCCTTTTTGTTTATGAACAAAATAGTTAATTTTTTAAAAGAAGGGTATTGAAGTTTAAGAGTTCTTTGGAAAGTCAGTTGTGTCCGATGATGTTTTACTGGGCAAACACGTGAATGAGTGTTTTCCTGAAGCAGACACAAGTAAAAGGATGTCTTGCTAAGGTGGACACGGGAAAGAATGTTTCACTGAAGCAGACATAGGTAAGATGATGTTCTGCTAATGCAAGCACGTGAAAAAGAAGTGTTTGCTAATAACACGCATGTATTGGTCTGCCTTACATTGTATAGTTGAGCTCCATTTGTTGGTACTCCATAGAGAGAAACACACTAAAAAACTTCTGGTGGTGTGCTGTAGCTTCTTGTTGCTGCAGCAGACTCCGGCTGATTGGCAGAATGATGTCAGCTGAGACAGATGTGCTACGGCAAGACACTTGGTGAGGCAAGGCATGTGGAGAACGTGTGATGATTGGAGGGTATAAACAGAACACAAGGGACTGAGAGAGGCTTGGTGAAGCTCACTGGTCCTTCGCTGATTTTTGCTTTGCTGAGAGAAGCACAGCGGAGAACTTCTCCTGGTGTCCCTGTTGGCCTTAGTCCAAATCCCTCCTGCTGACTCACATTGATTCAGCTTGAGCCCTGGCTTTTCCTGCTAGGTTGTGCCACCATTGCTGCTCTCCGGACTCTATTGAACTGGACTGTTGGTATATCCCTGAAGTGTCTACAAGTAAATCAAGCTGCTGCTGCTAACCTGTGAACTGAACTGCTGATTTCCTGACAACGAAGATGGGGGTTGCTTCAAAGAACCATCCCTAAACAGGTCTACTTCCCCCATCTCCATTTCTTTTCCACCATCTATAGGGAGGTTAAAGCTTTTAAGAACCATCATTATAAGTAGGATTTGAAAAAATTAAAGTTACAGGGTACCTCCAAATTTTTTAAAATAATAGAGTGAGAAAAGTACATATACAATAATACATATATACCAGTATAAAAATACATGTATAATATATGTAATACTTGCCTGTGTTGATTGTATTACTGTAAGGTCATTAATGTAGCAAAACCCTGCTCCCATGGCAGATCGAAGTCCTGCAGTCCCAAAAGTCATCCGGCAACAAAGACGATCACGCAACTCTTTGTTCATCCCATTCCGCAAGAGATTTTCAATCTGCTCTTTCGTTTTGGGATTCTGTTAAAAAAAATAATAAAACAAATCTAATTGAGAACATAAGGTGCTAATACTAAGCCTGTCTGAGGGCCCAAAATGTAGACACATAAACCTGGTCCATTAGATTCTAAAGTTACTTATTAAAATTAGTATATACTATAAAAATACAGCCAGCACACAGATATATGTATACACACACACATATATAATTTATTTATTAAAAATCCTTCCACTTACTTAGTCCTCATGAGATACTGAGTCCTCAAGAGAGGCCCGAGGGTAATTTACATTTATCTATTTTTATATAATCCTAAATTTAAGAACTACAAATTGGACCGGGCAGTGGTGGCACATGTCTTTAATCCCAGCCCTTGGGAGGCAGAGGCAGGCAGATTTCTGAGTTCGAGGCCAGCCTGGTCTATAGAGTGAGATCCAGGACAGCCCGGGCTACAGAAACCCTGTCTCGAAAAACCTAAAAAAAACAAAAACAAACAAACAAAAAACAAAACAAAAAACAAAAAAAACACAAAACCAAAAAAAGCCCTAAAAAAAAAAAGAACTACAAATTGCTTTTAGTCAACTAAATTAAGAGTCTATATTAAGCTTTAAAATATACAGACAAACTATTGGATAAATGCTATTAAAATACCTACCAATTACCTATTTAACTAGATCTTCAAATCAAGATAAAGCAGGCATGGTGGAACACGCCTATAACCCATCAGTGGATATAGTTCTGATCAATATTGCCAAGCAGTAAATCATCTTTAGCTTGGTTCTGAGAAAACTCTATAAAGCAAAGTACTAATGCAGGGGGCGCAGGATAATAGTAACAAGATGGCTTGATGGGTAGAATACATATGTTTTCCTAACCATTCTTGTCTATCTCCTTCCTAGACTTCACCAAGGCCATGTATTAGCTACTTTGTGTCTCTATTGAATATCTGATAGGGAGAGAGACTATCAGGAGTCTAAGGGCAGCCTCACAACATTGCAAGCTTGAGAACCAAAAAACTAAAAATAAAGAAACTAACAAAGTAACAAACACAAACAAAACCCTTACTATTCTTTTAAAACCACATTCCACTCATCTATAGCACCAGATGACCATAATGAGATTTTAGGTTTCAAGTATGTCATATTAGATTTTCATTAAAATGCAAACATGGCTTGAAAGACAAGGCATGCTAACATCTATATTCAGAATTTTAGCATGTGCAGGGTCCTGGATTCAATCCCTAGCACAAAGAAATAAATAAGCAAACAAACAAAAAGACCATCAGATTTCAAATTGAAATAAAGTTATGAGAAAGCCTAAATGGAATTTTCTAATATTCTTTATGGGAGGACTAAATATTTAAAAATCCAAAATGAACCATAACGTCTCTCATCAAAGTTACTATGAGTTGAGTCTGTCGTATTTACATTTTCTGCAATGATACGTAATGTAATGCTAATTAATGCTCAGAATTACAAACCAAGGCACCTGAAAGGCATTCAATGCTAAGCGAACTTTGGACTTGCATAGAAAAACATTATCAATACATAATTTAAACCAAACAGTTTCTGGTTATAGTAGAAACTAAAGTAACTAGAGTTTGTGGGCAAACTAATAAGACATGGCAATTCTATTAACTGGATTTTCTTACTTTTTTAGACAGGCTCTCATGTAGCTCAGGCTGTGCTGAAACTCATGACATAGGCAAAGCTGGCCTTGGACTCTTGATTATCCTGCCTCTGCCTCTCAGGTGCTGCCACCATACCTGGCTCTGAGGTTTTAATCTGTTTAAGGCTAAAGGATGTGCATGTGTAAAACCTAGATTCAAGCATTTTTTGTTTTGTAAATGGCACACACTAACATCTACACAGTCTGGATAAAAATATGAATAGATATTAGGAGAAAAATCTAAACAAAAGAATATTTAAGCTACTAATGAACTATCCCAAAGTTAACGGTATCATCAGATTTGAAAAAACTAAAATGACTTGAAACTGTTAACATCAGGAGATCAGAGCAAAACCTGAATGGCCTCTCTCTAGGCACAGAGGATAAGTACTGATTTCAAATTAGTGAGACTGTAAATTGGGATGGTCTTTTCAGAGTAACTGCAGCAAAGCATCAAATTTTAGATTACATATGCTTTTGACCCATGGATTTTTGTGCTGAAGCAATACTTTCACTTTACATAATTATGGACACCAGAATGTTCACTGCTGCATTCTTGCTGGTAGCATTATCATCACTATCACAGATGAAGAAAAGAGGATTCACAGAAGGACCCAAGAGCACTGAGCTAGCTAGGCAGGATTTAAACACATTTGATCGAACATTTGGTCTGGTTCTAAGTACAAAACAATTGTAGTTTGCAGGTTAATAATGTGTAAAAACAATTCAACTCCAGGTGTAAAGTGAAACAGCATCCTTTTTTGGAACAGCTACATAAATATACAAATGATCCACCAGTAACTATGAGTTGACTGAATATATTTCTTAATGTTAAATTGCATAAAAATGAGAATAAGACCTAAACTTCTCTGTATTAAAAATCTCAGATGCTGTACTAACATAAGTCCTATTTCTTAAAAAGCTATTAAATTTGAGAAAAATAAAAATGAAGAATCATGATACATTAAGCACAGTAAGCCTGTATGGAAAAGAGTTAAATGATTATGGTGACAGACATCTGAGGTCTATTTTAAATTCACATCTCTATTACTTAATAGCTAGATAATTAAATTAATTTATTAATTAAATTACATGGTGTTATAAACTTGGAAAAAGACTTAAAAAGCTATGTAATTATACATAGCTTCTATTTTTCAGAGAATGAAATTGAAATTGTATTTTGTTGCTAAAAATCTTTAAATAACCATGATGCCAATAAACAGTAACAAGGACCTAAAGTAATATAAATTATTTTAAAATATAATTCCTATGTATATTTCAGATATAATAAATGAAAAGGCAGGCAGAAAAGTATATAAAGTATTTTCATTAGTATAAAATGAGTGGACATGTATACCATACAGACATATTTCATGCAAAAAAAGAGAAAACCTAAAAATACTGGTTATCCCTGAAGGAAATACCAGGAGTAGAAACTGAGGTGAAAAGGTTACATTTAGGTTTTATAGCCTTAATAGTGTCTGGAGAGTTCTATCATTTATTGTAACTACTAGCTTTGTATTCATAATGGGTGAGTCTATTGTGAGTTTATGTGAAGTCTTTCTTCATCTCACAAACTGCCCTTACTACTTCACTGCCTGAGAAGTCTATTTCTATTTACCCCAGATAGGGAGAAAAATGGCAGACTGAAGAAATGATTCCATCCACATCCAGCTTGGCAAGTCAGTGCATTTAACTTGGATTACTTGTAAGAGGATGGGCAACTTCTAGTAGCCTACTAAGAAGACTTTCCCTCCTGGCAACCGTTAAACATATATCCTCAGGAACCGGGGGAGGTTCGTTGGTTATTTATTTATTTATTTACTAATTTATTTAGCAACAGAGCCTCATTATGTAGCTCTGATGGGCCTAGGACACGATATGCAGACCTGGCTGGCCTTGAACTCACAAAGATCCAACTGCCTCTGCCTCCCAAGTGCTGGGATTAAAGGCATGCGCCACCACGTCCAGCTTGACTGTTGAATCTTCATTATGGCTAAAATGAAGAAAAGGAAGTAACTACTTACATAATACTTGTAGAATCTTTAAGTCCAAATGCAAATATGAAGAAAGTGATCTTTTAGTATTAGTACTAGTCTTTGTAATTTTTTATTAGCACATACTATATATAATGTGCATAATGTGTATCACTGTAACACTTTTGTGCATGTACAGATTTCAATCCTGTTGTCCTCCTCCTTCCTATTACTCTTTCCTCTTTTCTACTCTCACTGGTTCTTTAGCCCTGTCTTCTACTTTCATATTTGGACTTACATTTTTAATTTATTTTTGGTGACTTAATGAGTTTCACTGGAGCTCTTTATAGGTATACGGGTGAGGATTTGTTTACTGGAGCACGTGCACCTTACCACTGGCTACACCACTGAAGAACATGGCTTTCTCAAGATACTTTGAATACAAAGAAACGTTTAACACTTAACTTCTTACAACCTTTCACAGATATGAAGAAAGCAACACACTATACCAAATCACCCCAACTCTGCCAACAAATGAAGGTATTTATATCACATATGAAAAATTATATTGGACTCGCCTAAGCTTTTCTGAGCCTATTATGCTCATAATTAGGTCCTTTTGCATTGTTTATGTGTAATAAATATAACTGTGTGTAAAAGTACTTTAAATAAAAGTAACCAAGTTTGTCAATGGGTTTACCTGTAAATCTTGTCCATACCTGTGATAATACTTACTTACTTAATACTGACTGCAAGATTGACTGAACTTAGAAGCCCTATGGAAACACACCTCTGGATGTATCTATGAGGGTGCTTCCAGAAGGCTTACTTGAGGAAAGTCCTATCCCAAATGTAGACTGCAGCATCCCATGGGCTGAGGTTCTAAAATGGAAAACAGAAGCTGAACACCAGCTCGTGCTCTCGCTCCCTCCCCCCTTCCTGATTGTGGATGCAGTACACTCAGACACCTCCATCACCTGCTGCCATGCCTTCTCTGCCATGAGTGCTCTCCTCAAACTGTAAGCCAAAAAAAAAAGTCTTCCTTAAGCTGCTATTTGTCAGGTATTTGGTCACAGCAATGAGAAAAGTAAGATATACTGCCTATTTTATAATTCCTATGCAACTTAAATCTACTTAAGAATATCTGAATATTAGACCTAACAGCTTGTGAACAATCTGAACCATACACTGTATCATTTAGAAGATTACAAAAGATATTAAAGAACATGGTATCAATTAACAATCCCAATTCCTGATATTGTTATTCATTAAAGGGAGCCTTCTATAATTCAGTATGTCTAAAATTACAAAACTTTAAATGTTGGTCTTAAATATCTTGGTCAGAGATTTGTATTTTAACAACAAATACCAGATTAATA